ATTCATTATTAATATAATTAAATTCATATCATATATAATATTCAATTCAATAATATAATCCAATTCATTATAGGCTAATGTTAATTTATTACTCGAAATGTTAAAATGTATATGTAGAAATGAGCTTTGAGCTAAATTAAATACTGTAAAAGTATTGCTCTTGGGATACCTAATGCATTCAGTAATGTTAACAAATCTGACCTTATTGTAAACTGTAACCTAAATATTTGAACATAACATCACCCATAACATGTTCAATACAGACTTTACCGGCATGTACAAAAGTAATATCTGACTGATAAGACCTAATAGTTTAATAGCCTTAGATATAATTTAATAAACATGTGTGTTCAATGAAATCATTAGGCTACTGAGAAGCTGGAATAACATTCAGTAATTAATTAATTATGCATTACAGTCAATTTGAAAGTACAGTATGTCAATCTCACAACTTAAGGTCAGGGCGGTTGTCCTTTCGACAGGTCAACGCTCTCTTCAAATTGACTGAGAAAAGGCCTAAGGTGAGTCAGGGAGTGATAAGGTTGATTTCTTAATTACAGAAACGCCTTTAACCCTTTCTGAATGGCTGGAAGTCCTGCTGTCTCAGGTTGGCTAAGGGCAAGAATAGCTGCTCTTCGGGGGGGAAATCCTCCCACCGCCTCCATGTCCAACCTGAGAAAGAAATAATTAATGAATCTGAATCTTTCAGTGAAATACTGCAGCGATACTGCTGCTGCTTGCCATTTGGGCAAATACAGTCAAATAATTAAAAGTGAATCACTAATTTTTCAGTATTAGCTAGTCATATAATAAATGACTGTCTAATACTAAATAAACTCATTTATACTTGGTCACTACTTACTCATAGAAATCATACATACTGTACAACATAGAAATCTAAAGCAGATGATTTGGTTTTATACAGTGCATGACATGTAAATATCAAGTAAATCTACAGATACTTTTGCTGCCATACTATTGTTTTGACTATTGACATATAGTCTGGCCCACACTGGTGTTTATTCTGGCCAAAAAGCACCCATTTAGATATTAAAAGTGTGCCTAAACAAAATATAAAGTGACCAGTCATTGTTTGTTTTTAAACTGCTGTTTTTTTCAAAGTTAGAATATGTTCTTACTACAATTAACTGAATATCACTCCAACTGATTATGTCAAAATGTATGATTGCAACTGATGGATATAATCAAGAAGATCAAGACTTTGTATTCATTTTAACAACAAAAACATGGGATTTAAGCCTTTAGAGCTTTAAAATAAAATGCCATGTCATCATTATTTTACACTGTATTCAAAAAACACTCAAAACCGCTAAAACCTGTTGTAATGGTGACTGCCAAGTTGGTGTGAGACAGGCAATAGTCTCACATGAATCATGAATGATCTGTGGGTGGGCCATCTGGGCCTGAGACTTCACAGGCAACAACACATTCAAAGAAATGGTTTACCTTCATTCTTCTCTGGCTCCAAATTAACAGGTTCAGCTGAGAAAGACCTGTCCAGTTCTCCCTGCATGAATATTGTGACATAATGGTAGTTTTCCTCCAGTCTGATGGAGTTGATGACGGATGCAAAGCGAATGTTCTTCAGGCGGACGCCAGCTTCCTCCATCACCTCTCTCTGGGCACATTCCTCCCAAGTTTCTCTGATAATTAAAATGAATTTACATGCAACCCATGTGTTTAAATGCACTAGCACATAAGAAAAGTTAACATGAATAAAGCAGGAATTATAGAGGAACATAAATGTCTTTCTAATTTGATACTGGGATGGTTAACATCAGTAAAAGGCCACACAGATGCACTTTTGTTACAGTGAACTCACCCGAATTCAATGTGACCTCCTGGTAACTGGTAGGTGCCTTTCCCAACTTTGGTTTTTCTTTTTCCTAACAAGACGCATCCTGGATTGGAGGAGTCTGTCACAAGAATCCCAAGTCCCACTCCAGGACGTTTGAGGATGGGTTTTCCATTTTGAACAGCCTCGGACATTGTATTTAAACTGTGTTAAAATGGACAAACATAGTTGTAGTCCAAACTTTATGAATCCCTATTAGGGTTGCAAAGGGGTGGAAAATTTCCGGAAACTTTCAAAAAATCCTGGAAAGTTTCCAAAATTTCTGTAATGTTTCCTAAATTTAGTGCAAATGTTCCAACGTTTTGCAAACCTAATCCCTATGACCTAAATCATTTACTTGGAGTACCATCTGAGACTTCTAACCTTTCGATAAAAAAATTATAAACAATAATAAACAAAATCATTCTTTATTGTATTTTACAGAGTAATGTGCATTTTTATGGTTTTAAATTTAGAGATATCTTGAGAAAAGGGTGGAAGAATCATTAATGTGTAAAAATAACTGTTGACTATGCACTATTAAAATGATGTACACTATAGAAACTACTAATGTTGTCTTTTTGTTATAGCTTGTCAAAAGTCATACCTAGATCTTGCCAAGGTGGAGGAAACATTAACCACTTAATAGATCTGCTTAAAGCTGCAGTCCGTAAGTTTTGCCTATTTGGCGCCATCTCTTTTTGAAAACCTGGAATTGCAGCTGTGTGTGGAATTATCTAGCTTGCGTGGTTTGTGAGTCGGCACGGCTCCAGCGCGGATGAATCTAATGTTCTGAAGAGTATGTGTGGCAGTCAGTCACCGCACCGGTGTGTACACCCCACTGTACTTCGCAATCACAGATTCTAGCCTACGTCTTGGAATATATGACCCAAATAAGAATTTTCACCGTATATTGCGAGTAAGTAACAAGTAAGTAAGTAGTCTGCCACATTTGTTCTGACCAACTGAGGAAAAAATCATTACCATAAATCTCGCTACCAATGGTGATTAAATCTAAAGATCGGTTAGCTCATATCACATCAAACCATTCAAATTATTCATATTGTTATACTTTATTCTCAAATGATTAATGTTAACAACATCAGCATTGGTGACTATGAGTATAGTGTGTATTAGCATGTAGATTTCAATTTCTGCACAGTCTAATCTAATTGTCATACACTTCGAATTTCATATTAAGAAATTATTTTAACCCAAAAAGCAAATTATGCTCCCTTCGAACTGGTTTTCTTTAAAATACAAATCTTTGTAATGCCATGCTATCTGTAATCAGAAGCACATGTATAACTGGAATATAATTTAATTTAATTCACATGTGTTTCATAAACACATAATCCTTTATGGATTACAATCCGCCATCAAAATGATACATTTAATTATTCTGGCTGCTGTGAGAAAAGGCTATAAACGATCTGCCACCTGCAGGATCCTCACATGCAATAGCCTAGTAGCCGGGACAACTTCTTTATGTTTACAGGCGTCACGTAATGACGTAGTGCCATGCTCGAATTTCCCGCGAAAACCTACCCGTACCACTCAAATTAGAAAACATTATTATAAGCTAACCGTTGTGAATTGGGCTAAAGTAAGGCAATAGTTTTGAACACTGGCTGGTTATGTACTTGCTCAAATATTGATTTTGGTTCATTTTTTACCAAAAAAAGTTACGGACTGCAGCTTTAAATATCATTTGTGGGTCAAACATAAATTTGTGAATGAATCCATTTTTGAATAGGTACATGATTCAATAACTTGTCACAAGCACAAAAAGACACTCACTTGCTGCCATCTACTGGCGTGGATGTAAAGAGTCACTGAAGGAATCTTTTTGTTGAGTGGATTGAAAAGATTCGAGTCACTGGAGTGAATCAAAACCCCCTCAATTAATGAGAGGGAGGGACATGTGCAATGCTGGGGAACCGCATGAGCATACTTAAAGGGATAGTTCACCCAAAAATGAAAATTTGATGTTTATCTGCTTACCCCCAGGGCATCCAAGATGTAGGTGACTTTGTTTCTTCACTAGAACACATATGATGATTTTTAAGTCCAACCGTTACAGTCTATCAGTCTTATAATGCATGGCAATGGTAACAAAATCTATGAGAGTAAAAAAAACATGCACAGACAAATCCAAATTAAACCCTTGCGGCTCGTGACGACACACTGATGTCCTAAGACACGATACGATCGGTTTATGCCCGAAACCGAACAATATTTATATAATTTTTTTACCTCTAATAGGTGTGTTGGGTGTGTTGATATCCAGCCGAAGAGCAATCAACCATAACTTCAGGAGAGCAGGTTCAGAAGTTGGAAAGTCACCACTCCCGAATGAGTTCGCACGAGAGAACGTAATCTTTTAGTTTTAAGTCGGTTTGAACAATCCAGATTAGCAAGTACCATTTTGATTAGCCGTCGTACCTACAATGTTTGTGCACTGTGTAAACAATGAGTGACGTATACGTGCGAGAGATCACTTCCGGCGCTTGCGTAAACTACGCCAGAGCGCGTACACACCTCACGCACCGGAAGCCGTGCGCGCGCTCAAAGACAGTTGGACATAGTATTAGAGGTAAAAAATGATATAAATACTGTTCGGTTTCTGGCACAAACCGATCGTTTCGTGTCTTAGGACATCAATGTGTCGTCACGAGCCTCAGGGTTTAATTTGGATTTGTCTGTGGGTGTTTTTTTTACTCTCATAGATTTTGTTACCATCGCCATGCATTATACGACTGCAACGGTTGGACTTAAAAACCATCATATGTGCTCTACTGAAGAAACAAAGTCACCTACATCTTGGATGCCCTGGGGGTAAGCAGATAAACATCAAATTTTTGGGTGAACTATCCCTTTAAGCAACTGTTTTAGTGGAAACCACGTCAGAGTACAAACTTACCTATATCTTACTTGGTAGATGACTCTCCTGACAGAAAGCATACCTTTCACGATCTTGTTGAAGACTGTGCACTATGAGATGCACAAATGGCAGTAAATCATCTTAATTCCCAAAATAAAGCAAATCTTTATCACAGTAAACACGTGAACTGATTTTAATAGTAAGCTTTGGTTCATGGGGAAGGAAATAGCCAGCTGCAATTCTCGATGCGCAGTTACGCAGTTGACGTACGTCCTGACGCAGGCGTGTCCAGTCATTTGTTTTTCTGCTGCGCTGCTTGTGCCCAGAGCAACATGGCGACGTCCCTGATCTGCGGCCGGTTGTCCGCTGGACTGAGGAATTCCGGCTCCAGGACGACTTTAAGCTCGGCAGCTAAGGTCAGTTTTGCGTGCACAGATCAGATAGCTATATCCGACTGTCATTTTTGAAGCGGCTTGCTTTTTTGATCACTTTTAATGACCCCAAATGGGCGATTCTCCTTTGACATTAGCCTTCAGGCTAACTGCCATCATTATTAATAATGCTTAGATTAGCGAACCTATTCATTATCTACTGAGCGGATGCTCTTTTGTAACGTTAGTTAGGCGGATCCAAGTTGAAATATCTGGGAGTTTAGTGTGTCTCTTTGTTTATATGGTTATCATTCACACTGTAGCTGTCATCCCGAGTTAACTTTGACCTACATGGACAGAGGGCCAGTCTGTTTTGTTTCACTTCAGTGTTTCTGTTCAACTCTAGTGCCAGCTGGTTATTAAAGTTAATTCTTAAACCACTCAGATCTGCAAATATGCCCGTTGTAATGAACAAAATGATAGTGTCCTTAACTGTAATTCTTCCTGAATCATAATTTCATGTCTAAATGTTTGGTTATTAGAAGGTTGTGCCCTGGAGTCATAAAGGACTATTCCTATAATGAGTGTACTGTATGTCACTTTGGATTATGGCAAATTATGAATTAGCCCGTTAATCATCTCTATATTGCTGGCGCAGACAGTGTTTCAGTAGGTGTTATGATTCCGCATATTCTGATATCCCATATATTACTGGAAGACTGTTGACATTGCTTGGATTCTAGTAAAGTCTGTTAAGTGTTCGTCTATTGAGCAAGGGAAAGGGAAAATCCATTTCTTTGTAAAGCTGAGATTTTGCTTGTACTTGTTTCCGTTTGTGGATTGCATTTAGCAATCTGCAAAAGTTAATGTTTGCAATGTAAATATGACCATGGCTTTGTAGCCACAATATCCCTTGTTCAATCATATTTGGCAGGGTGACCAGAAAGTATTTGTGTTGGATTTAATGTCTATTTTCTCTCTTTACTTACAATTACCAGGTGCTTGGTGGGACATCGGGTCTATTTGGTAACCAGCTGTCTCCAATGCTGTCAGTGCAGCAGCAGAGAAACCTCTCCCTGCATGAATACATGAGCATTGGGCTGCTGAAGGAAGCGGGCATCTCTGTGCCTGCGGGTTTGGTGGCCAGCACACCTGATGAGGCTTATGCTGTTGCCAAACAGATCGGTAAGAACTCATGAACATACACTGGACACTAATTGAGGAAAGTCGTCGATATTTATTCTCAAAGGGATGCAGGCTGCATAACTGTTCCATAACACATGCACACTGATTCACTTGTATTTTGCACTGTTTACATATTTTACACTTTGGAATGATCTTGAGTAGTATTTCAATACAGCATATATGCATTTAGGGAATACCATTGCCAATGCTTTTACATAGGTCAGATTACAGTGTTTTGAACAGGACAGCCAGATTACCCTATGTTAGGGTCTGGAATTTGCTATGTGTTTGTGTTTCAGCTGTTGTGCTGTTCTCACACACGCTGCAGTCTAAACATAGATTTGCACCACCTCTGGAGAATGTGGCTACCCTAACCTTTAATCTAACTGTCAGCATATAGGCAGCACCTGCACAGACCCATGATGGACAGGCAGTGCTGTTAGCCAGAATAAAGGAGGGTAGGGTGTCACAAACACGGAGGAACTAGCTTTAGACTGAGAAACATGTAACATTAGAGAATGGGTTTAATTGACCCATTAGTTTGAATCTTGGTGTGTCTCAGATCAGCATAAAATTGGATTTCACTCCTTAACTCGCTGTTTCCAAATGAATAATCATTTGCTGTGCATTTCATTTCTGGTAAATGCACTGAAATGTACATTAAGGGTTGCAAAAAGTGGGAGTATTTTATGTGCAGAATTGCAACATGGACAAAGTTGGAAATATCCATAGTTTCACAATGTAAAATCAGCAGTTTAATGGCGTTCCGTGGGGCACTTCCCTTTTTCAGAGCTCCAACATGGTACAACTTTAAAAGGGTTAGTTCACCCGAAGCTGAAAATTCTGTCAGTATTTACTCACCCTCTTGATGTCTAAACCCTATAACAGATGCTCTGTGGAGCACAAAACGAGATTCATCAGAACGTTCATGCTGCTGTTTTCCATACATTGAAAGCAATCATGAAAAAGCACTTAATTCCAGAAAAAAAGATAAAAACAGTAATATTGTGAAATATTATATTTTTGTGTGTTTTTTTAATGTAATTTATATCTGTGATGTCAAAGCTGATTTTTTTTTTTGCAATCATTACTCCAGGCTTCAGTGCCACATGATCTCTCAGAAATTATTCTAGTATGATGATTTGGTGCTCAAGACGCATTTTTTTAATATTACCAATGTTGAAAACAATTGCGCTGCTTAATATTTTTGTGGTAACCGTGATGCATATTTTTAGGATTTGTTGATGAATAGAAAGTTCAATAGAACAGCATTTATTTCAAATAGAAATCTTTTGTAACATTATGTCTATTATGTCACATTTGATAAATGTAATGCATTGTAATGCAAAAAAAAAACACTGCCTCAAGCTTGAACAGTAATGTAGTGAAGAACAGTCAAATTCAAGCCATTAGGCAGGAAAAAGGCAGCATGATCATTTTGCTGAATATCTCCTTGTTCGGATGGGTTTTATGGGTTTGGAACACAATGAGGGTGAGAAAATAATTGTAAGTATTTTTTATTAATATCATCTTAACCAATACCACAAAAAAAATGTGTAGTTATGTCTGTTTATTGAAAAGTTGGCTTGTAAAGTTCCAACTCCCAGTCGAAATTGTATTAAACTCCACCTTATTGTTTTTATTAAGCAGGCAGAATTGAGTTTATGACGCCGGGCCTTCCTAAATCATTCTTATTGGCGTCATACGTCTATTGTTTACAACTGGCTATGCAGTTTAAATCCTAGTGAATCAAAACTATTTAATCTTTTATGTGGCATTAGATTTATCATAACAATCAGGTCCAGCCTTTCATAAGCCTGTTCTGTGTGTCCGGCAGCAGCAGGTCTGTGCAGGTTTAGAGACTGTAGCTAATTACAGTGTGACTCACTGGTTGAGGATGCAGCAATTCTGTAGTGAATTTTTCATCTCTGTCAATTTAAGTGGCATTTGTTTGTTTGCTAATGGCCTTTGAGCATGGCCATGTGTTTTGTGTACTTCTATGTCTGTTTGGTTGGCATTATTCAAGGCTTTGTTTTCATTCTTGTTTATTCTTTCTCTTTTTTTCAGGCTCTAAAGACCTGGTGGTTAAAGCCCAAGTGTTGGCGGGTGGTCGAGGCAAAGGCTCTTTTGAGGGAGGATTGAAAGGCGGAGTCAGAATCGTTTACTCGTGAGTGCTTGTGCCTACTTTATTGTTCGTCACTTTATTACTTTTCCTATTTCCTTTTTGTCTTCTCACTCTCATTGTGTCTGCAGGCCAGAGGAAGCGAGAGATATCTCCTCTAAGATGATTGGCAAGAAGCTGTTCACTAAGCAGACAGGAGAGGCAGGGCGAATCTGTAACCAGGTGTTTATCTGCGAGCGCAGATACCCACGCAGAGAGTATTATTTTGCCATCACCATGGAGAGGTCCTTCCAGGTGAGAGGTCAATACTGTGTGGTTTATCTATGAAACTGCTTTGCATATGTGTGCATCCAAGTACAGTAAGTCTTTTTACAAGCATTCAAAAATGACATCAACGCTCTACATGCGGCAGTAAACAGAATGGCCAGTAGAGGGCAACTTTTACTGTATTGTGACCTGAAATGTCAGCACTTTACTGGTTTCACCTGCCCTTAAAATGATCACATAGGTTCTGCTTTACCCCCTGCAGGGCCCTGTGCTGATTGGCAGTTCTCAGGGAGGCGTGAACATTGAGGATGTGGCTGCAGAGAATCCTGATGCCATTGTGAAAGAGCCTATTGATATCATGGAGGGAATAAAGATGGATCAGGCTATTAAGGTGAGGTGCAGAGTATTATATAGCTCTGCAAGACAGTTCCCACACTGACCCCTGCTTGAAAAAAATTGTTTGCATATGTGTGCATCCAAGTACAGTAAGTCTTTTTACAAGCATTCAAAAATGACATCAACGCTCTACATGCGGCAGTAAACAGAATGGCCAGTAGAGGGCAACTTTTACTGTATTGTGACCTGAAATGTCAGCACTTTACTGGTTTCACCTGCCCTTAAAATGATCACATAGGTTCTGCTTTACCCCCTGCAGGGCCCTGTGCTGATTGGCAGTTCTCAGGGAGGCGTGAACATTGAGGATGTGGCTGCAGAGAATCCTGATGCCATTGTGAAAGAGCCTATTGATATCATGGAGGGAATAAAGATGGATCAGGCTATTAAGGTGAGGTGCAGAGTATTATATAGCTCTGCAAGACAGTTCCCAAACTGACCCCTGCTTGAAAAAAATTATTCTTTTTTTTTTCTCTCTCTCTCTCAGGTGGCAGAGAAGATGGGTTTCCCCCCTGCATTGATCAATGAAGCTGCAGAAAACATGTTGAAACTTTATGATGTGTTCATCAAGTATGATGCATCTATGCTAGAGATCAACCCAATGGTGGAGGATGCATCTGGCATTGGTACCCTGAAGCAGACACCTTGCACTTTAGATCATTATGTATACATTAAAGAACCCAGTCCTAGGGCTGCACAAAATAATATCAGTATCGTGAAATGGCTATTTGGATAAGGCGATTTAATCAAATAATTATTGGCACTTTGGGTTTTAGAGTTAAACGTGACACTGTGTTCGTTTACATGTGTGCAGCTCATGATCTGGGGTTTGTTTCAGCATATCAGAGCAGATTGGTTTGTTTACTGTGAATTGAGCCACTCTGAGATGATGAAACACTGTTATCGAAAACCCTCCAATGTGGCTGAATTACAACAATTCTGCATAGATGAGTGGACCAAAATTCCTCCACAGCGCTGTAACAGACTCATTGCAAGTTATCGCAAACGCTTGATTGCAGTTGTTGCTGCTAAGGGTGGCCCAACCAGTTATTAGGTTTAGGGGGCAAACACTTTTTCACACAGGGCCATGTAGTTTTGGATTTTGTTTTCCCTTAATAATAAAAACCTTCATTTAAAAACTGCATGTTGTGTTCACTTGTGTTATCTTCTACTAATATTTAAATTTGTTTGATGATCTGAAACATTAAAGTGTGACAAACATGCAAAAAAAATAAGAAATCAGGAAGGGGGCCAACACTTTTTCACACCACTGTATACTGCACAGTGCCACTCTTCACTCTGAAGACTCTACAGGCTGTATTAAACAACCAAAATAAAAATGTGATGGTTTAACATTTGTACATTAAGAAATTATATCTTAGTAATTTTACAGTTGCACTAAGCCTATAAAAATTAAATTATTTTATTAAATACTTTTTAAAGTTTTTTTAGAGTACAATCGTTTTATTACAATTTATTTGTTGTTTTGTATATAATAATCACAATAAAATGATTACTTAAAAAAATATTGTTTTATTGTCATATTGAATAGGTCAAAAACAGTGGGAATGTGACCTATGAAAACTTGAGTTGAAAGAATTTTGTAAAAGAAGAAAACTGTTCACTTAATGGTCATGGAAATAGATTTGAGTTAAGTAAAGAGTATACTGAAGTGTGAACAGCAAACATTTTCCCTAATCACTGAAATTCATGCTAACTAAAAATAGGAATTTTTCAGCCTTTTTTTTTTTCTGTGCTCCTCAACAAAATCCCCCCAATCATTTTAGATTAAATAATCGCATCAAATAGAGCTATTCAAGTCATTTGGTGGGAATTTCTGTGCTTTTTTCATATCCAGTAAATATAGCAGAAAAACAAATCCAATGTCAGTTTATTCCAATGTTGTGCAGCTCTACCCAACACTGTAATACTCTATAACAGGCTCATAGATTCATGCATTCATAGATGATTTCTTATGTGCTTTGCAGTGATGTGTATGGACGCTAAGATCAACTTTGACTCAAACGCTGCCTATAGACAGAAGAAAGTGTTCGACATGCGAGACTGGACCCAGGAGGACACCAGAGACAGACAGGCAGCCAAAGCAGACCTCAACTACATTGGTCTAGATGGCACTATTGGCTGTCTGGGTCAGTCAAAAAAAACCACAACCATCCATTATTCAAAACCAAACCCACATATCAGCATTCTTGATATATTTACATTTATTTATATATATAAATATATATATAATATTAGAATTAAAGACCTTTATATATTACATTTTGTGCTTTTAGTAAACTAGATATGATTTGTACCATTTTGATTAGTTTGAATATTGAATATGTGTATGTATAAATCTATACATGTGATGTCACCTGTGTTTAGTCAATGGGGCTGGACTCGCTATGGCAACTATGGACATCATTAAACTGCATGGTGGAACACCCGCTAACTTCCTGGATGTTGGAGGAGGAGCCACTGCACAGCAGGTGACGGAGGCCTTCAAGCTCATCACGTCTGATAAAAAGGTATTGTCATAATCGAAGGAATTACATTGGCTTCTGTGTTTATTGCCGCTCTTTGTATTGCACCTCTCATGTCAGAAAATGTTTGTCTGTGTTCTCTGTAACAGGTCCAAGCTATTTTGGTGAACATCTTTGGTGGCATCATGCGGTGTGATGTCATCGCACAGGGCATTATTATGGCTGTCACTGACTTAGAACTGAAAATCCCCATCGTAGTGCGGTTACAAGGTGAGAGAGACCGAACTTAATACTATGATTATGATTGATGGTGCGGGTGACTTTTATTAATGGAGTGGTGGAGGGATGATTTGAAACCCATTAAAAATATTTTCAGTTCCCATGCTTTATTTAAAAGGGTGCTGATCTGAAAAATTGGATCATATTATCAGTTATACCTGTAAGAACAAGCAGGTTTTCTTAGAAAATCAGATGAATAGGATTTATCAGGCTTATCAGAGGTTCTTGTGGTCATGGGAAAACCTGGAAATATTTGGGGATATTTTCAAATTGTTTTCAAGGCCTGGGAACAGGGAAATGGCATATGGAAATTACTATAGTAAATATAGATTTTTCTAGTTACACACTACTTTAAAATGATGTAATTAGTTAAATGTTGCTCTTGTATAAAGTGAAACTTGCTTGCAAGCCATTATGATGTGGAGTTGTTTCAGTTTCTTTTTTTCAGAGAACAATGAACCAGTTCACAGATTGGTCAGAATGCTTCTTAGAATTCTTTAGAGAAGAAGTCTGAATTTGAAGAATTATTGAAAATCCTTATCCAGTAAACACAGATGACTAGAAAGGTCATGGAAAAGTTCTGGAAATTCGTTAGTCAAAAACTGTGGGAACACTGAACTATCTATATCAATAAAAGGTAGCACAAATCCCCCAATAAGACCTGGAACGTCTCGGAGAGAAGAAACATTGACAGAAGGGTGACAGAAAGAAAAAGGTGTCTGGAAAGGGGTATTTGTGCAGGTGGCTCATGTTTTCTGTCCTTCATCTCCAGGAACAAGAGTAGACGATGCCAAGGCTCTGATTGCTGCCAGCCCTCTGAAGATCCTGGCCTGTGATGATCTGGACGAGGCGGCCAAAATGGTGCGTTGCTCTTATTTATCCATGCATATGAGCAAATCCAAACTGACATAGGGTGGAAATGGTGAGAAGAATTTGCTCATCATGGTTCAGGAATCAAATTGATAGTTCAAAGAAATATGAGATTTTAAAGGAGTTGTTCACCCAAAAATGTCTGATTAAATCATTTAGTCACCCATCGTTGTTCCAAACCCATATCACTTATTCTTGAGAGACAGGACAAAATTTCCCACAACCTGCCATTAATGTTTGAAATAGCAACATTTACACTTTTTTTGGAAAATAAAGAATAAAAATTCACTTGCATAAGAAAAAAAGTTTTTACAACACTTTTCAACAAGGTTCAGTTCATTAATAGTAGTTTGTTCTTTAGGTTTCATGAACTAACAATAAAACATACTTTTACAGCTTTTCATAAACTTGGATAATATTAATTTCTACATATTTGAATATGTCAAGTTATAAATAAATACATAATACGTCATTCGAGTATACATTATAAATGGCTTTAATAATGTATTACGAGCGAACAAACAATCAAACAAATAAATTATGAATAAATTCATCTAGATTAATTAATGCTGTGTAAAAAAAAAAAATGCTGTTCATTGTTAACTCATGCTACCTAATCCAATAACTAAGGGTAACACATTGCACCTGTGTTATTTAAAAAGGGAAGCGCATGTTGCAGTCCATACAACTTTGCATCAAATAGAATCAAAGCAAATCTCATTATTACTATACAATGACTATACAAAACCAGATATCCAGCTACAAGCAATTTGTCTTTCCACTCTGAATGGTGGAAGTGATCATACAGCGGTTCACGACAGCCAAGCAGAACATACTCCGTTTTTTTTTTTATGTACCGTTATTGTCGTTTTTTTTTAACAATCAACAATCATCACTTTTTGGTTTTTACTGTTAACGTTTAGGACACTGTTATAATTAAACTGATTATAATTAAAGGTTAAACATTTACCATACCTTTCTCTCTCTTTTTCTCTAGGTTGTAAAGCTCTCTGAAATTGTATCATTGGCTAAAGAGGCCCAGGTTGATGTCAAGTTCCAGCTGCCCATCTAACAGTGCAAACCTACAAGCTACATCACTATTCAAACCATCTTATATGAACTGAATCTAAGCCCACCACTTGAGCTTGTCTAGTCTCAGACCTCCAGTAGAGATCTCCTCAACCCCGTGTCCTGGTCAAGCTTCTGTCATCTCTCGTTTCTGTCTCTTTGTGGTTCCCCGTTCCTTCTGTCTCATCAGTGCTTTCAGATTGTTAAAGCACATGTGTATCTGCATGGTGCCACTTTCATTTCATGCAAATCAACATCACCCAGTGCAGAGCCCATCAAACCAGTCCACTAACATATTGTTGAATTTTTTTGGTTCCATTGGTTTAGATTGGGTCAGTGTTACTGCCTACTGTTGTTTTTCGTCAATGTTATTGTTTGTTTGATTTCTGAAGTGGAGGATGTATTTATGTGGGATTGTATTTATACTGTTGAAATGTACGGAGATCTGACTCTTTGGGTAAAGAATGTCTCGGACACATTGGTCCTATCTTTTGCCATATATATATATATACACACAGTATCATAAAAGAAAATCCCACCCCCTCGTTCTTCATCCCTCCCTCCCTCCCCTCCTTCTCTTTTCCGGCGGGAGTGAGTGTCGCTGCCGGATGTCTTCTCTGTTCTCCTGAAGAGAAATGCACCATTTCCCTTTTAAGTAAACGCACAAGCACTCACGGGGAATATTTGTGTTATTGGTGTTCTCTCAGTCTGACATGGAGCCACTGGTGCAGTGGCTGCAGAAAATAATAAAAAATATTGAAGTGTCTTAGAGGATGATGATTGATTCTACTCAAAGACTCTGTCACTGTCTATTTTTGAAATGTAGAACGTGTACTTCTTTGGCAAAGTAAGTCCCTTGAATCATCTTTCATGTTAGAGTGGGTCCTATAGTGAGAATTAGAAAGCTTTCTATAAAGGAAAGTGCTCTGAATTTGGCAGCTAACAATTTGAGGTCTGTAATACCTCAACCATCCAGTAGCATTCCTATTCAACTCAATGGCAGTTGCCCAGCTGGTGCAGAACCTCCTGGAAGTATGTGATCTATGATTTATGCTTAAAATATTAGATTTTTGTCTAAAATGTCTAAAACTGCACTTGGTAAAGTTACAAATGACTTGTTTCTAGCATCTGACTAAGGCTGCATTTCGCTGCTTGGATTGATTTTACACTCAAAAAAATCAACTAGCCACTTGCTTGATTTGCAAAATACAAATATGTCTGATTAATATGAATACAACGAGTTTACTTCTGTTAAATGATTCATTCTTGTTATTTGTAACTAAATTAAGAAATAATCAAATGAATTAGATCAGCACTTGTTGATTCAATGAGACTGAGGCGCTTCATATCAACAACTCTCTCTGGTGAGCCACTGCGCATGCTCAGCACTGCGGCGGGAAGTTCGGGAACACGTCACGCAGTGGAGTTTTGTGAGCGGTTTGAACTGCTGCGTCTAATCGTTCTGCATCCTTGATATTGAGGGTAAGTACTTGATATGTACCTGTTTGTAATTAGTACCGTGGATTATAGATTAAAAATGAGTTATTAGACACTGTGGCGATGTTTCTAAGCAGACTTATTTTCCCAGACTTGAAGCACATGTGTTGGGTTCAATTCCGTGTCTTCGTCGATAAGAGTTTCACCTTAACGTTAATATATCCGCTACAATAGGTGCATTTCTGTCACAATTCAATGCTAGCTACGCCTAACTATTAACTACATAACCTACGATAAACCTGAACTCTACATTACCCCAACAATGGGAGGGGAAAACGGGAGATAAAGTGA